TGAACTACTTTGGGAAGGTTATCTCGATTCCTTGCTAAATTGTTCGCTTCCTGATGAATTCTTTCAGGAGCACTTAACTTTACACCTGCATGACATTAGCTAACAATCAACTTACCGTTACAGTACAGAAGAACTTTCCATCGCACTTGCGACTGATTTTCTACTTCAAACCCAAACATCAACACAACAAAATGTCAAAGAACAAGGTCCCAGATTTAAGTCTGTGAGTGCTAAGAAACTCCACAACAGGTTTATCTCAATTTACTTTTTAGCTGTTTCCAAAATAAATTTAAGACTTTCTTTAGCAGCAATCAAGAAAATAAAGTATAAAATTTCGGCCATCATTTCACTTCACTTCAGATTAGGTGCTATGTGGTGGGGACGTCTACTTACTTTCCAAATCTAATGGTTCCAGTAACATAGGCTTGCCAGTGCGCACAATAGAACATAAAGGCTGCCATAAAAGGTAAGAAAAACATCCAAGCAGGTTCATGGCCAAGCTCCATTGCAACAGTGATCGCTAAGACCATTATGACCATCGAAACTGAGTCACAACCATGGTCCACTAATTCTCCCAAAGGTGAAGCACTTTTTGTGCGCCGTGCTTGTTTACCATCAATGGCATCTAGTGACTGGTACACAAACAATCCAACTGCACTTAAGATGAAAGCCCATCCTGGTGCCTATTAAAAGTCATGCATGCATGCACAGATATTAATCACTAGCTGAAGCAATAACTTGTTAGATATTAATCTCTGACACAATTTATTGTAAATTAAATTAATTGTGGCCATAAGTGCCCAGGCAATGTACTGTAGCTAAAGATGACATTGTTATCTAACTACAAAATTAGCCCAAATTAGTTTTCTGATTGTAATCTATAAAATGTAGTTTTATTCATGTACAAAATACTACAGGGCTGAGCATGTGTTTAGTTTTGTCACTAGTATACATGACCGTTTATCTTTGTTTTGTCCAACGTGGTGCCCAGTTTTAAAATATTGTTCCAGGTCAAGTGAACAGTTTTAAAAAAGTTATTCAGTAGTTCTAGAAAGAAAAAGAATCACAAAGAAGAAAATTAATGTATTCTTGGTTACTAATTCGGTAAATTGGTAGAATGGTTGGGTTTGATTTTGACTGAAAACCCACGTTACTCAATCCAGTTATGTTATTATCAGCCTTGGTCAACCATATGGTTCAAACAGATTAATGCAGAACAGGTCAAGCTAGCCAAGTCTGAAATAAATACCAACTTAAGATATTTTATAACTACGAAAATATGGTGGTTTTAATTTCAGCCCCAAGAAGAAAACTGTGGGCAGATTCACCAGATGCCTTTTGTGTATTATGCGTCAATTTCCCCCACTAAAATGCTCCATTTCTCCCCTGAATAATGAAAAAAATGCTCCTTCTCCCCAAAATAAGTCAGTAAAATTCTTTGATAATACTCATTTTATACGGAGGCTTCTTTATTAATTATTAACATTTTAACAGGGTTGCAATGCTAACAAAAATGTGTAAGTGGCATACCAACAACTAATACAAGTTAAAAGTCTTAAAGCAAGGAGCTCAAAAGTATGACCACCTAAGTTAATTAATTCACATTCTTTCATGCAGACATTAGCCAATCAGAAGTCAAGGACAGTTTCCAGCTGGCTTCTGATTGGATTAAATCTGTACGAAAGAATGTGAATAAATCAAAAGCGGTCAGTTTTGGGCTCCTTGTCGCAATACAGCTAAACTCATCCTCTAAACAGCTGTTTTCCTGATTACCAGCCACTGTTCGGGAAATGAGCCCAAAAAAAGGAGGAAATCAAGCCACGTATTAGGGTAGCATTTGAATTGCTTTTTTCGTTTCGTTTTGTTGATTTTGTTTTTTTTTCAAAGTTGAGCACAAGTCTACATTTTCTAAAAAAAAATAATTTTGGGAAAATGCCACAAAATGCTTAAACAAGGCTAATTGCTTCTGTCTCTCTAAAAAAACTTGAAAAAGTGCTACCATAATTTATGTCCAAAAGCCTATTCCCCACCCTGGGCCACAAGGACCAGCTTTGGTACAGGGGTTTCCCTGGTTTATAATCACAATAGCAGGTGACTTATTGACGATCAGTTTAGGCTTCTGGGAAACTGACCACCTACCCCTCCCCTAAGCCAACATTAACACTTACTTCTCACTTAGGGCAAAATGTTGGCTTAGGGGAGGGGTAGGTGGTCAGTTCCCCAGAAACCTAAATTAACCAAGCATTGTACAAACTACAAAAGGGAAATTGGAAAATGCAAGCTAATAAATGATGCCATAGAGGGGCGTAGTCTGTTATAAGTTTTAAAGGAAACTTACACTGTCTAATTAAGCTTTATACATGTAAGTTCAGTTTACATGTTAATTTATACGACAGAAGCTCGTCTACCGGCAAGCCAGACCACAAAGGCAAAATGTAAATGCGTCATTAAAAAAGACAATTAAAATCCTATAATGGCAAATAATACTTTATAGTGAAAGATTCAACAGCTAAAAACGACAAGTATTTAGACTGTATTCAATAAGGAAAACAAAGTGAAGAAAAACATGCATTATTTACCATGAACATTGTAAGCTCATGCATTCAATACATGTACAGTTTTTATCATACAATCACTTCAAATTAAATAACCTGCTTTTATGCACAAACCCACCTCTCCTTTCGCTTGAGGGCAGTAACCAATTAAAATGAGTGACGTGATAACATTGACTGCTAATCCCGACACTGTAAGAGTATTTGGAGCCAACCACAACGGCAACTGTTCAACAAGCCATCGCCAGTAGACTTGAAAATAAGGATCTAAAATCGTGCAACACTCCGCGCTATACTTGTGCTCTGAAAGACGTTTGAGTTGCCTTTCATTTAAAACACTTATCATTATTGATTATCCTCCTCTACAGAAGCGTCTATGTCCCTGATTTTTTTTGCCAAAGCGAAGATTTTCCACGTATTGCTCGTCTTGCAAATACAAGCTTACATAAACATATGTATTTACCGCTTCGCTGGTTTCATTCTTCGAACACAATAAGGCCTGGTTACAACTGTCTTGGCGCGGGCGCTAAGCCGCAAGCACATGCACAGGTAACCCAGACATTCTTCTGTCACGCAATCGTCCACAAGTCAAGTTGTATTTACACTAGGCTGTTAAGTAAGACTTTAAGAGCCGCTAAGTCTTACTTAAGCAAAAATTCGTGTGTGAAGGCCTAAGTAAGATCTCAAGTAACTTTGCTTTGCATCTCATTAAAGTCGGAAAGTTGATACGATTCAAGAAAGTTTCAAGCGACTTGAAAACCATCCTTATGACCGACTTCGCTGACTCGCGGTTTTGCGGTTTCTTGAGCTTTGAGGAAGGCGAGACATGTCCGATCAATCTTAATTTTGTTGCGTGGGAAAATAACTTGAATTAAAAAAGAATCGGTTGTGTGTGAAGCTTTATTTTACTTGAAGTAATTAAAATTTACTTGTCTTGAAATATGTCTTAGCTTATTTAGGCTCTACTGTAAAGACTACCAATGGCGCATGGAAACAGGTTTAAAGTGGCCCCCTCTTGAAACCCATGGGAGGGAGGGTGATTAAGGTATCATCCACCCTCAAGCACCCTCCTCGCGTTGATCAGCACTAGCGCTTTTACTTTTAACAAATACCCCCATAAACCGTACATTTTCTGAAAGCTTAATAGTTCCAGATTATTGCTTATTTCTTTTAAAAACTTAAAATATTAACGCGATTTAGAAATGAGAAGCTTTTTGTGAAAGTGGGTGTCACTGTAAATTTAAAGGGACAGTGTCCCGATTATGCGCACGCGCGAGCGTCATCTGTTTTTTCTTCAAAAGACAATAGAACTGTCAAATTTACTAGACAAGATTTCCTTCCGGACCGCACCGCCGACAGAGATTTGTTGTTTATATTCTCAAGTAACATTTTAGACTTTCGAAGAAGTCTTTCGTCTTATATAAAAATTTGGCTTGCGGTTCGAAGACTCCTCGCGATTTTATCGCTGGCTGGGCCGCCTCGCGACCCGAAAATCTCGTTCCGCTCGCTTGAAAAACATATTTTCTAATTTGAAACTCGTGTCAGAGGTCAATCGTTCCAAGTCCAGTAATATCTGCCTGATTAGCTCGCGTTCTAGCCTCAAACGTTTGAAAGACATAATAAAAATGCAATCTCAACGCTATGAATCATCACAAAGGTTAGTCAAAAATGATATTATGATTTCATGTCACTAGTTTTTCAAAACATATAGCGCCTGTTTGTTCGATTTTGTCGGCCGCAGGGAGATTCATTTAAAAGTTTACTAACGCGTCGTTGCAAAACATTCTGCTTCACGAAGCTCCCCTCCACAAGATCTCCTCAGTCACATCAATGTCCCAACAGATTCTTTCTTACAGTCTTTATTGTTGCTGTTTCATTTCTGCGTATTCCTTTCACGATTATCTGAGCTTACATGGAAGCTAGCAGAAGAAATAAGCCTTCAATCGGCATTAAAGTGCTTCGAATCTTTTGGTCCTCCGGCCAACGGCAATAAAGGGAACGCCAAAAAATCCAGATTTTGCCCAAATCGAAACTTAACAGGAACAATATATCATTGATCTATAATCCTGAGAAGTTTTAGTGTCGTATTGAACCCGACCAAGCGCGATGCAAACGGATTTTTCAAGATTCTCTTACTCTCCTCGCATCTTTTGATTTCGCGACATCATGTCCAAAAATCAAAGTTTGGTGCATGCGCAGTAACGGGATACTGTTCCTTTAAGTCCAGTCCAGCCAAAAATTAACAGAAAAAGCCAATTAAAGGAACAGTATCCCGTTACTGCGCATGCACCAAACTTTGATTTTTGGACAGGATGTCGCGAAATCAAAAGATGCGAGGACAGTAAGAGAATCTTGAAAAATCCGTTTGCATCGCGCTTGGCCGGGTTCAATACGACACTAAAACTTCTCAGGATTATAGATCAATGATATATTGTTCCTGTTAAGTTT